GTCCAGCAAGGCTCCATGGAGCTTGCCACGGCCAATGGTGGCAGGAACAGAAGTTAAGATTTTATTTTATTTTTTCTGTTTTGAGTGTCAGGGTATTTGATGTGGTACTGGATATAGAATCAGCTGCTTCAGGATGAAAGTCAGGTAGTGCGTGTGTGTGGTGACACTGTCTTCCTTGGTTTTTATAAACTTCTTGAAGCATCGTAATCCCTGTGGGCAGTGCAGCCTGCTGAGGGCTGATCAGTACTCCCTGGTCTTTCCTTCAGCCCACTACATGAACCTCATTTCCCTGCATTCCCCCGTGTCCTCTTGTGTCCTCACGGTCCTCTGTTGACAACAGTGAATTCAGAAAATGGGAAGAGCCTTCTAGCTAAGGCCAGTGCTTCCAGCTGCATTTCAGAGAGAACGCAGACTACACCTATGATGAGAAATCAGTGTACACAGTAGGAAGGAATCTTCTAGATCTTCTTACTCCACATATTCTTTAGGCACATTTCTCACTTCTGTTTTTTTTAATCATTATTTTTTTAATTTTTAATAACTACATGATTATAAGAAGCATTTCATTACAGCATTAACATATTCAGTAACACACTCCAGAGCAAGAGTCCATCTCTTTCACAAGTGGCTGTAAGTTTCTAGGTTCACAGTTAATTAATACAGTTATAGGATATTGAACTCATATAAGCCCTGTAAGACATAAAATTGAATGAGTTTTTAACCTTTAAAAAAGATCTCCATTTCATTTTAGGATATATTGTTCCTTGCAGAAAGACTCATTGTTTTGCTGCTGACACTGAGATGTATTGTTCTTCTTTTTGTGTCATGTCTTGATTTAGTTTTGACTCCATTTCAGGTTGTGTGTAATATGAATCTTATGGCAGTGGTGTGGATTACTCTTACTGATTTTGGTGGAAATTATTGCACCTGCCATATTTGGTTGAATGCTGAATTTCAACATAATAATAATAAAAGAATCAAATAGTAATTTTTAGCTGTTCTTCAGGGTTTCTTTGCTTATTTAATGGATGAATTGTTTTGATGTTTTCTTACCATGTGCATTCATATTAATATGTAGAAACAAATATTTAATCAACAGACCTGACTAATTGCTGTTACAATATAAATGGGAAAAGAAATCCATGGAGAAATTTCCACAGTGACTAAGGAGCAGTGTGTGTTTTGTTACTTAGAAAACAGTTTGTTATTTAGAAAAGGACAGGGCAAGCAAAGTTGAAACCTTCATTGGTTTTCTGCTTTTCATTGAATGCTGTTTAACACTGACAGGCAGAGCAGGCTATAGAATTAGCATTTTGATTACTATATTCTTTTAATGAAAATTCTGTTATAAATATTCTTAGGAATAATGAATTTCAACAACATTAATATTTTACTAGTTGCAAGTCACATTTTTTATTATTGACCTAACTACAGTGAAAGTTTATGAGACTATAAATTTCTCTGTTTTTATTTCAATGTCTTATAAACTGACACTCTAAATGTCCTTGGAGCATAAATATAAAATATCAAGTGGATACCAGGGAGGTGGAGTAAGATACCTTGGAAGGGAAATACTTAACAACCACAATGAAAAGCTCATAAAATTGAATACTTGATTAATGTGCAGAGTTCCTGACACATCATGAAATCTCAGTAAATGGTGGCTGTGGCTATTACTGTTCAGTGATGAATTAGCTCAATCTGTGAGGTAGAGCAAGAGAAGCTGGTACTCTAAAGAATGACCAAGATTTGCACCTTGTAGCTTGGTTTGTAAAGGCTTCATCGTTGTCATTTGACTTTGTTGAAAAAATGTGAGACCCGGAGTCAGCAGTAGTTCTGTTTTCCTGCGTCTCTTCCTCCCTTGCTCCATCCTCCCTACCCCCCTGACTCCCCCTCCTTCCTGTTTTTGACAAGATCTCACTATGTAGAGTAGGCTGGCCTTGACTTCACAGAGATCCACCTGTCTCTGCCTCCCAAGTGCTGGGACACCTGGCAGCAATAGTTCCTTTGTCTTTTTTTTTTTAATTTTTTAATTGAATTTTTGTGTATTTCATACAGAACATGTTAATCATCTTTATACCCCCTTCCCCACTGGTCCCCGCCCATAGCTCCTTCCCACCACTGGGATTCATGCATTTTGTCATTTGCATTAAGGCCTATTGAGTCAAGTTAGTGTCCCCAGACATCCCTCAGTGCAAGTTCATCCACTGAGGTCTAGTCAACCTATCTAGAGTCCCTCCTTTAAGAAGATCAGCTCTTCCTCACCCAGCAATAATCAGCTGCCAATGGTTTTTCAACTAAGATTGGGGCCTGCTGCCAGTTTCCCCAGTTCTGTGCTGGGGTTTTGTCTGCTTGAGTTTGCATGGATCTTGTGCATGCTGACACCATTGCTGTAGGTTCATATGAGCAAAGTCCCTGGAGCCTATTGGTTTCTATTTTCATATGGTCATGCACCTCCTCCCTGGCTCTTACAATCTTTCTCCCCCCTCTTCCTCAATGGTCCCTGAGCCCTGGGTGGGTGGATTTAATATAGGAGTCTTGTCCAAGGACCCACACTCTGCAGACTCTTATTCTCTATGCTTTGGCCATTTGTGACCTTTTGTGTTCTGGCCCTCGGGTGCATGGCGGAGCTTCATTGATGAGAGTTGAGAGATACATTAGTGTTCTCTTTATGCCTTGTTCTATGTTCCATGAACCTTAGGTGTAGAGGTGACATTGTATATGTGCCACTTAGGCTTGCATAATTTGCAATCTCTGTGTATGACTAGTTGTGAAACTCTGTAATAATCTCCACCTGTTGCATAAGAAGCTTCTTTGATGAATGGTGACTGGTATACTTGTTTGTAAATAAAAGGTTCCATACTTTTCACATAGTAAGAAATTACATATGCCTAGGGATGTGACAGCCTTGGGGTTTTCTCTAAGATCTATGACCTCTCCAGCCATGTGTATTTGTCTGTGTGTACAGTACCATAGATGAGTTTCCTCCCATTGAGTGGACTTTAAGTCCAATTAGGTAGCTGCTGATTACCCCAAAGATAAAGTGCCACTACTGCACCAATATCATTTGCTGTGCCAGTCATTATTGTGGTTATTAGGTCTTAAAACCAGAGTTAGACCATCAGTTGAGGTTCTCCCTTAGCAACTTGCGTAATGTTCTCCAAAGCTATGAGCGCTAGCCTTCAGGGAGGAGCTTCCAGGTCAGTTCCAGCTCCCTTGCTCCAAACCCTGTGTCCAAAGTATGTCCTGCCTTCAGCAACAGGGTCTTACCTTCACGTTCAGGGAGGCAATAGCCTTTGTAATTTTTGGAGTCTCTTGGACCACCCTGGCCAGCAGCTCAAATGGAGGTTACTCCTGTCTGGCACTGTTTCTTGTTATGTAGCCTTCAACTATACACATGGTCTCATGTAGAGATATTATATGTGTAATTTTTCAGTAGGATTTTGGGCTAATAGGATTCCCTCTAGTTTTTTGCACTAGCTAGGCATTATTTATCTCTCCTCTCTCTCTCCCTGTCTAATTCTCCCTCTATATCCTCCCCACTTAAAGTATTACCATTTTTCCCAATTTCTCCCTTGATAATACCTGTGTCCTCTGGTCCTCCCTCTCTTGAGTGCCTTCTTTCCCATTATCCCCATAGTTCACTGGATATCCCTCCCTTTCCCATTTAAATACCCTTCCTTTATCCATTTACCCCTTAGTAACACCTGTCTCCTACTGCTCTTCTCTCTTGGGTTCTTCTTTCCCTTTATCTCCCTGGTGCCTTACTGTTTTCCTGGTTCCTGCAGTTACATCAGAATATATACTCATATGTTAGGATTTGGTGCTAGGATCCACAAATGATGGAGAACATATGTCATTTGTTTTTCTGAGTCTGTGTTACTTTACTTAGTATAACAGTTTCTAGTTCTATCTATTTACCTGCAAATTTCATTGACTTTGTCTTTCTTTACTGCTGAGTAGAACTCCATTGTGTTAATGTACCATTTTTATTATCCACTCATCAGTTGAGGGACACTTAGGTTGCTGTTGTGAAAAGATCAGTGACAAACATGGCTGTGTAAGTATCTCTGCAGTGGGATGATTCCTTTGGGTATATGCCAAGGAGTGATATAACCAGGTCATATGGTCGGTTCACTTTTAGTTAGTTTTTCTGTTTGTTTGTTTTGGTTTTTTTTTGTTTTTTGTTTTGGTCTTTTTGAGACAGGGTCTCCCTGTAGCCCCAGCTGTCCTGGAACTCACTATGTAGACCAGGCTGGCCTTGAACTCACAGAGATCTGCCTGCCTCTGCCTCTGAGTGCTGGGATTAAAGGCGTGAGCCACCACGCCCAGCCATTTTTAGTTTTTTAAAAGTTCTCCACACTGCTTTGCATAGGAGTTGCATGAATTTGCAATCCCATCAGCAGGGAATGAGACAGCAGTTCCTTTTAACAGTTGCATGTGAGGTCTTTATTTCCTGTATCTTGATCATTGCATTACTTCATATTATAGTTTTTAATTATGTAATTGTCAGAGAAATAATACTTATCAACCTATATTAATGATGTTTTTGCCCAAACACTTGAGTGCTTCTGCAAATGTTTAATTTTGTGTCTAATAGCTGGAACTGCTGGGCCTGTCTTCTCACTAGATCCATTCTCTAGAAAACTAGCCTGAAGGCTTCTGTAGAATAGATCTTTGATTTTCTTGATCACATCAAGAATAGGTTATGTCTTACTATTTCTTACTAAAGTTCATAATAATATATT